ATATATATCTGTTATACTTTATTACACAGCCACTATGCTTTCAAGATGCTTTAAATATTACTGAAAACATTACTTTGGTTAGGACCCATTTGTTAAGAGTAATAGAAAAGTGAAGAATTATCATAATAATTCTGTCATATATATGTGCTCTGTTGGTGTTTTGAGTGAAAAAAGGAAAAAAAAACAAAATCATATTTGCATATTCCATATTACATATTCTGAAATACCCCCAAATCACACACCCGATCCAGTGTTTGTAAACATAATCAAAGCGGCTCTTCACCTGTATTATACAAAATGAGATCAATTTTAGAGGAGGAAATGTTTTTAGTTAATGGGAAAGCATAAAAGAAGACAGAGAACTTGAATCTACACATACAGCTAAACCTCAGCACTTTTCACACATCATATCACTTACAGCCCTACACAAGGGGATTATTGATTAGATTCAATAAATCCTGCCATCCTGTGCTGCATAATGACTATCATCACATTCTGTCATAAAATAAATCTCATGCAGCAGCATTTTTGTTTTGCTTCTGTTGACAGTAATAGCTAAATAAAATAACTTGGAGACATCGTTAAAAGTATTATTATTATATGCTTTTTTGAACATAGTCTTCCTGTCTGCAAACAAATGTACAATATTACAAAATATGCAAAGCATGTTTTAATTAGATGAAGGCACCTTGAAATAACGTTAAATTAACCTTTGTAACCTTGAGGTAAAAGTGGCAAACTTGGATTAATAACCAGTCCAGTATGAATGTGTTTTTCTATAGCACATTATTTATGTGCAATAAAGCTTTTGTAGCGATTATTTTTAAAAAGTTTTACACATGGTTTTCTAAAGCAGTCTGCCTTCTAACTGTCCATTCAGGAATCCTTTCGACCTAATTTCTTAGCTACAGCACACCAGCTAAAAGAGGAAGGCTTCAAGGTGAGTTCTGAGATTTTATTTTCAACTTTACAGATTATATCATGCAAAGTATTCATATTTCCTTTCAACGGTCAAACGTTTGTTATTTAAAGCATTAGAAAGACAACATAAAATGTGTCTTCCTGATATATATATTTGATATTGTGTTTGTGTTCCCAAATAGCTCTATGCTACTGAGGCCACCTCAGCCTGGTTGTCTGCCAATGATGTTCCTGCCATTCCAGTCGCCTGGCCAGCTGAAAAGGATGGAGACACGACGTTGCCCAGAATAAAACGGTTGGCAGATAATCACTGAATTTCATTTATTTATGTTTTTGACCTTTTATGAAATTAACTGTCAGTAAACTTTGAACATCAACTTTGAAGCAAAGCTTGAAGGTTGTTTTATATTAACATGTTTGGATAGTATGTCAGCTGTAATTTATGAAATATAACGTTTGGATGACTAATAACACACAAAAAAATGCATTAAGATGTAAAACCACAATCTTTTTTTTTCTTTTCTACAAACCAAACAAGGTCAAGAAACATGTGGAAAAAGTCCTTTCACTGATCAGAAATAAGTTTTTTTTGTGAATGGAGAGAGAATAATAAAGAGAAAATATTTGTGTATTTCACAGTTCCTAATATTACAACGTGTTTTACAATAACAACAAAGGTTAATTATATTAGATTAATTTGCAATAGAACACAAAGTTAAAAAGGACTACTCCATAAATCAAACATTGCCATGGGCTTACACAAAGAGGGCAGTTCTAGGATCTGAAGGTAGCTAGAGGTTTAGTTTCCCTGAGTCATGTGAGTCTAATAAATTTGTTATTAAAAAGTCATTATTTATGACTTGGCTGTTGTTCCACTGATGATGGTTCATTTCAGGACAGTAAAATAAAAATTAAGGTGGGGGAAAAAAAGAACAACATGCTAAATTTAGACAAATTATTTAGGTTAGGACTGTTATTAGTCACCAGTATTTTGAATGATCTCAGTTTCAACCTTTTTGTCCAGTTTTTATTAGGAAGCTCCCTTGAGACAGCTCTCTTTTTTTTTTAGTCCTGGGGTGAACTGGGATGGAACCATTAAGCCTCCAGATGGCAGTGATCAGCTCTTTGCCTAACCCACAGCCACGTTCCTGCTTCTCTGTATCTCCTTGTAAATGCATGTCATTATAATCACTTTTAGCAGAAGGTATTAAGAGAATTTGCTGTATTAGACTTTTACTAATCAGACTTTGAAAGAGTTGACCTTTCCCAAGCCATGTTTCTGGTAAAAACGAGCCTTCAATTTTATTCACTTTATTTCGCTTTTTCTATTTGAAAAGCTTATGTTTTGACTTTTCTTGTAATCACTGAATACAAACTGTCATTAACTTGTAGCTTTTTAACAAAAAATAAATAAAAATAAAATAAAAAAATCACGGAATTGCTTTTGATATCGGCTGTATGGATCCACAAGCTGCCAAAAGCATGTGGTGATGTTTTGAAAGAACTAGATTTTTAGTGGAAAATTAAATAAACAGCAGTAATATTAATAACTTTTGCATTTACTTGGATAATCAATAACACTTACTCTGCACTGAGTGATTGTTCTTGTTAATATTAAAGTCAGAAAGTTTGAGTATGATATAAAGTAGCCTTAACTTCAAACTGCAGTTTTGTTGAAATGTCCTGATGCATCTCAGTAATCKAGGTAAAATATCAAAAAGAAAAAAAAATGTATAGGTCTTCTGGACGGGAAATCACACACACGACAGGCCCTGGAGCAGTGTGGTTATCCTGACTGGGCTTTCCTGAAAGCAGACAGGAAACACAGACAG